TGACCCGAGTCACTGGCTTCTGACAGATTCTGATTGTCCCAATCACAAACATTGAAACTGGAGTGGCCTCTCCTGTACTTTCTTGAAGTGTTCTATGGAGTAGGAGTTGGTAACAATGTGCGGTGCGTTTCAGTGTAATTACATAATTAGACGATCTCTTTTATGATAGCGTCCGTTTAGTATCAGGAAGGGCAGAAGAAAAACGTTTCTCTCTTTTGGTTCAAGATGTGGAGGCGGGGGGGGAGGAGGAAGGGGGGTGGGTGGTTGTCTCTTCCGGGGCCCTCTCCTAGATCTCTAACCTTTTCTTTATAACCTAGACCAAGACTAAGTATTTGTCATGTTGAAAACAAAATAGAACAGTATTATGGCCTATTCACCCTAAGGGGGGGAAAGGGAGGGAGGGGGATAATGGTTAGCCATGGGTCTCAAGGAGCTGTCGCGTACCAGCGAATAGTAACCCCATACAATTTCCCCGATAACGTTTTGTTTTCTACTAGAGTTATTATGTAGTTCGATTATAATTATGTCGTTCTTTTATAAGGAGCTGAGAGCAAGTCATAGGCTTAAACTACACAACTACAGGCAAGGTTTACATAAGTGCAAAAAGATCTTCAGTGTACTAAGGGCTGAAGTGTGCGTTTGCCCCTCAAAGACATATACCATTCAATTTGTTTCCTAGTATTGAAATGAATTAATTGATCTTTCTGCTACATGGAGCGCAAAAGGGGTCTGAAGCTCTAAGGTGAAGGAGGGGAGAACCAGGAAAAAAATACAGGGGAACCGAACACAAGTATTCCAAGGCAATTCTCTCTTGTCCAAGGTCATGATTTAGGCCTCAGTTCGGCGCGCGAGAGTTTATATGACCCACGAAGTTTGGAGTTATGCACGTGGCAGCGCGGAAGGGCAGTGCTTCAACACCAGGGCTGTCTTCATTTGTCAGAGATCGTGTTGTTAGAGGGTTCAATTTTATTTGTAGCCTGCTGGCCTAAAAAAAATTATAACCAGCGCCTTCTACGCAGGCTATTTTATTTGCCACCATTATCCTAAATCAATAATTTCTCCAGTAAGGCAAATCACCTTTGACAACAATTATTTCTAAGTGTAACATAACGTAACTGGGCTGACTCGACAACAATTTGCATCTCAAAGTGAGACAGTTACCATTCTGATTTTGATAACTCGCAGCCCCTAACCCATTCGCAAACCAGTCACGCAAGAAGAGCGTGACCAAGATTTTTTCCAATTCTTTTCTTTTTAAAATTTAGCTGTCCCTCTTGATTATGACTTGAATGTGATCTTACTTTAATTATTCCTCGGTAGGTTTAAGAAAACTTTATGCATGACGCATGTAGCAGTCATTCGTACTTTGATCACCGACAGAAACTGCACCAAAACTTAGAGCAATTATTGAGACATAATGAGTTCGCCAGCTGTAAGATGTCCGACACTTATAAGTTTCGATAAAGTTAGTGCATATTAAAAAATAATATGCAGTAACGGCAGCTGTAACCACAGCTGTAACCACAGGTGGCCCAAGTTCGAGATATGACTAACGGCATTCTTGCGCAACCTTCGAATTATGAGGATTTTTATCACAGGTACCCCAAGCTCACGAGTGAGTTGAGTAACAGAAACTGATGATAAGAGTTTGTATGGGAAATTTGTCGATCGTCATTCAGGGCATTAAAATAGAAATAAATATACATCAAAACTTCCTACCTTGTCTGCTTGTCTTGTTTGTGGTATCTTCTTAGCATTTCTGGCCTTTCGCCAGGTTCGCCCGGCCGTTCGGTAGAACTAAAACTCGCTAAATCGCGCTGAAACGGCCAGAACTGCTAAGAAGACTGAGAACCTGGCCTGACTGAGAACATACCACAAAGAAGACAAGCAGACAAGGTAGGAATTTTTGATGTATTTTTATTTCTGTTTTAACGCCCTAATAAAAACCAATAAATTTTCCATACAAACTCTTAATATCATTTTTCTGTTTCGTAACTCACTCGTGAGCTTGGGGTACCTGTGTTTTTATGGGGAAGAAACGATGACTTCTGAAACCTACAAATGAGAAAGTGTTTAGACAATATCAGCTAAACTCACTTACATTTGCGTAACGGTTACAATCAGCTGTGAGTCGGACCTCGATAAAACGAGGTCCTCGATTCTTCGACGCAGTAATAGTATTATATATGGCAACGAACCTCGATGGACTCCTCATTACAGCGAATCAGTTTCGCCAAGCGTGGCCTGAGTCCCTTGGCCCTTCGTTAAATCGAGGTACCACTTTACCTTGCGTCCAGTGAAATACGTAAAAATACATCAAAGGGGTCAATAGGTTCGTCCTTCAATGTTTTAAAAATTACTGATGCGTTTTTAAAGATGTGAACAAAATAGAAAGTAAGAAATATACTCATCATTCACGCTCCTGATTTAGTTTCATGAGATCCACGCGCATCGCTGACAGACAAGTCAGGCCCAGAATCAAAAGTGCGACTAACAATTAGCGCAATTTACTTTCTCCTCAATGCTGCGATATCCAAAGACGTGTCACGCTAAGTTATGTGTTAAATACAGACCTGATAATAATTTCCGTCTGTTATCATCGTGGAATTTTGCTAATCGCGCGGTTTACTCTTGGTTCGATTTCCCTGCAAGCGGTGCGTCTTTGATATACTAGAAAACCGAAAGTCTTTAGAGGAGCGGTAAAAATCGCATCCATCTGGGCTCTTTCGTGACCTGAAGTGTTAGTTTGCTTCACATATGGCCATGAATTCTGTGATTCTGTACCTTAAAATAAAGCAACGAGTTTCCTTAGCTCATAAAGCTTTCGTATCCCTTCGCTTGATTTCATTTGTCAACAGACCGTGTCGGAATTATAGTACAGTTGGGGCAGTAGCGGTACACTACAACCTACAACTCGACATGGGGATCGCAGTTGCCGAGTAGCCAGTTGCCTGATTCTCGGCGCCGGCGTGGAGATATCACCTCAGTAATCACTATCTGTGGCCCGGTACTCTATCGATACGCTACTATATCAAATGAGGCTTTTTAATATATATTTTTAAATTTTCGAACTTGGGCATCTTTAGGGGATAAGCATAAAATGGAATCATTCTTCCATGATCGGTGGGGCTCCATTTGATTCTTGTGGAGAGAAGAACAGGAGGGGATTATGGCTTGATCGCAGATAAGCTCTAAAGTAAAAACTTGTGATCATAAGTAGCCCTCGTTTCTCTCAGCACTGAATAGTCAATTGGCGACAGCAGCAGTGTGATAATCATGGCTTATAGAAGAGATTTTAGTGCTGCATGCTTAGGTAGCCATTCATTAGTGAGAAAAACTGTAGAACTCCAGGCTATTTTCTTTGGTACTCTTTTTAAATTCTTCGAGAGCAGCAATTTTAGCATGTTTTTAATTAAGCACCGTCACATTAGATTGCTTAATTGAATGTACGGGTATAATAGAATTAAAAACCAATTTCTCTACCATGCAAGCCTTCTACGCCTACATGTTTTCTTATCGAGGTTGTGTGATCGATTTGACAAGGCCCGCACAAGCGTACAAAAACATCGGCTTCCGGCATTTTTTCCTGCTTATTATTGTTGGATTTAAACCCTGAAAACCTCGGCAAAATACGCGTTTGGGATGAGATGCGACCTGCCCCATTTCGGGACGTCAGATCTTTGTCAGTTTTGTCGATCTTTATAAAAACATAAAAATGAGCAGGTGTTCTTTGTCGAAACTTAACCCGGTTATAGTGACACGTCTGTGCGTTTTTAGGCACACTTATGTTTTGCTTGAAATATCAAGTTTTCAATTCGACTATTGACCACTATCGTGTCTATCCTGAACTATCAATTGATGTAACAGGCCACAAAAAGTCTCTCTCATTAGAAGCCCATGATCAATGTTTTGGCATAAACAGCTGAGTAAGTGTGGTTAAAACAGAAAATTAAAGCTGCTTCATTTAGAGAAAGAGGTGAAAATTTACGTAAATTGCCTCAAATGATCCACATCTGGTTTTTGCCAGAGAATTAGCGAATGTGATGGAATCTAAGTAACCCAGGCTATAAGCACGAATAGCCGGTAATCTTGATTTTCCCCAATTATGTAGCCGTCCGCGGGCCTGAAATACTCCAATTCGCAATCGCAAAGCTGTATTAAAGCACTCGTGATTTCATTTACGGTTTGTCCTGATAATATGCTCGATGAAAGACGCTTTTTAAATCCTGTAATTCACCGCCCGATGAAGCCAAACCAAGAAACAACAATCGCTCACCCCGAATGATTGACACCTTGTTAATAAAAGAAGTGCGAATGATAACAAAGATTTATGGCGTAATTGTTTAGCCAGGACCTTCCTTGTCAGGAGAGTTTGTTTAACAATGTCAATTAAAAGGCAAACCCAACACCTAACAATTTAGATGTTTGCGTTAAACACTCCCCTTCTGAACGGTATGCCAAACCTCAACGAATACGATTTCTCATGTGAAAAACGTCAAAAGCCCGGGCATATCTGCTCATCTATAGTTAATGACCTTCTCTTAAGGTTTAACCGGGTCATAACCAACCGATGATGTAAAATTTTAACAGCTTTGCCGTCACCTAAAGAACAGATTGCATTTTATAGCTCTTAACATCTCACGTGTAAAAACAACAACATCGTCTCGGATCACATTATTAAGCAGCACTATTTGATGTTTCCCAGGGGCATTCTTAGCAGGATCAAGCATGAATGATATTTCGTAACGTTCTTACAAATCCATTTTATGTTAATCTTTGAATTCGAAAGAATAACCAAGGCCACATGGCAACGAAAACTGTGCGCGCCTTCTTGATACCAATGAATCTCCTTCAGAATTCCACTCGAACTGTTTCTCTCCACAGGTGACAGTTATTGTTTTTGTAATGACAGTGTTGAATGACAGGAGGTCATAACTCGAGAGGAAGGCCAAGATACTGGAAATTCCATCTTTAGACAAGCGCTCCATAAGCGCGCATCATCTTGAGATACACATTTACGAAACTCGCATCAATTTCGCGTCTCCGTCTTTCTTACACGCAGTGAAAACCTCTGACCGAACGGTCTTCGGGCTTTGTGCTAATTAATCGGATAGCAACCGGATTGGTCGTTAAATGGACCTATCCGGACCGCTATCTCCCAAGGCGAACGCATTCTCGATTGCACATTTGATAGACGCTTCACAGATCCCGGGGTTCATGAACATCACCAGCTACAACCGACAGACGTACGTTCCAATAATGTTCAACTGGGACTCATTCAGGCTAACCAAAGATATGGAGGGTGAGAGGATATTTCAGCACCTCGGGTAGACACTAGTGATATAATACCTTCATTTTTTTTCCCTATTGTTTATCGTAGAGAGGCTTCGAAATGCAGGAACAGGAAAGAAGGTTTCGTCGCCTGAAAATTTCCCTTCAGACAGCACGAGTTCGTCGCGCGATTGTAGAAATATAGATGAGCGATGCTGCACTTCATCTACTCCTCCAGCCAGCCCACTGGCCTGTTCCTTAGCCAATGTAAAAGTAGACATCGAGATGAAGAATTTATGGGACGATTTTTACTCTCTTGGCACAGAGATGATAGTAACAAAGGCGGGAAGGTTAGTCATTTCTTTCATAATTTCACGCCTTTACTATCGGTGCAACATGATAATTTATGAGCACGAATTTTAATGAATTGTCATCTAAAAAACTGCACAAGGGAGAAAAAATCGAATTTAGTAGTCTGTGTTCTGCTCATAGATATACTGAAGTTAGCTCTGGGAGTATATATGAGTAACCTTAGCGAATATTATCACCAAATTCCACGTTCACACCTTTTATAGACAATATTGATCATTGAATTTGGCGTGGGGCGAATAATGTGTAAATTCAGTGCAGATAGACTATTTATAAGCGCTGATGTTTTTAATGAATACACGCTGCAGAAAGCAGCTTACGTTGCTGCTCAAACGGTTTTTGTAATAATATGGGGTTACGGGGGGCCGTGAGTAAATTGTTCGAAAATTGTGCGCAAATTGCTCGTCCGTTATCTTGCGTTGTTTGATAACGTACAAGGAAATCGCTCATTACTGGCATGCGACCTGGTGAATTCCAAAAAAATAACATTGCACTGAATACGTTTATTTTCAGTGAGAAAGTCTGTTTATTCCATTAGCCGGAAAAAATGTTTTTGATGTCATAATCGGCGCTATCATAACAAGGAACCATTATGGGGCAGTCTTGTGTTTGTTTTCTCTGAGGACAAAAGCAGTGAACGGATAGAAACGCGTGTGGCCATCGGAATATAGTTTCTCTCAATTTTCCCCCAGAAATACAAATAAAAAATACAAACAAGCAGAAACGGCTATTGTAAAGTATTCTCCCTGTCCTTCAACGTACTTACGATTCGATTAATTTTCAACATTCTAATGTGCTTATAGAAACCGAGTCACAAGAACTCGGCTATCGTCACTTGCACACCACCTCTTCGCGGAGCTTTTTTCAAAATCTTTTTCCCAATATTCGCATAGTGATTTGCCAGAAATCAAGCGCTCTGCTAAGTTTTTAAATGCAATGCTTTTGCGTTTATCGTGAACTTAACTTCAAACAATGACTGATGTCTGTTTGTGGACTAGATCAGCCTCAGGCAACTCATAACCCGGGGGGGTGGGGGGGTCCAATGAGGACATTTCACAGCGTCCATTTTCTAGCTTTAAAGCATGGATTTTGTGCTAAGGCTCGCTTTGCTTGCGCGTTGTAGCGCTCTGTTCTTTTTAGTTTGGGTTTACAAATAGTAGAAGCTATGAGCAGGCCGAAGGGAGTGCAGTCTAACCCGCGCAAAACGACTGTAGAATAAATGGAAGATTGGGGACACCCGACATGGTACCTTGGAAGTGCACGAAAGATTCGGGAAAGGATTTTACGAAGTTAAGAATATGACTATGCAGATGAAAACCTTTATTTGGGGATATGTAACCCATTTACTCTCAAAATCAAGATTTAGTCAGGGAACTTTGGATGAATTTGAAGCCATGCGTACAGCACAAGTTTTTGCGCGTTTCTTTGGTGTTATGATACATTTTGTTTTCAATTATTCATTTAGAGCATTTTGGGGATGAGTATAACGAGGACCCAGTAGTTTGTGTGATTTATAGCTATTCGCTATCTGCAATTTTAGTTTTTCAGAGGGGTCTTCACATTAAAAGGGTGTGCCATAGAAGATTTTAATCACATTTTCTTCATCTTTGGTAATTAAGAGTAGTAACTTCTCACCGGCGTTGTATTTGATTCAGTTTCTTGATTTGAAATGTTTCGATTAGAATTTGGACTTTTATTGTGAATTTTATTTTTGGCTTCTATCAGGAAAGTACAGGCGCAAAGGAAAGAAATATCTTAATAAAAACCGCACCTCAGGGCTGTTTAATCCAAGTGATACTATTTGAAGCAGCTTAAACCCAAGCAAAGTGCATGCTTATTGAAAGTCGCTCAATTCTCACCCACAGTCTGTTAAAGGAGAGCATCATTTTCTCTGGAAGCTAACTGAAATAATGGTCTCAAATTTTATCGCAAATGGAACACTATTTCGAATACATTAGGGTACAGATTTGTAGCTGGGGGCGGCGCCCCCCTGGGTAAAGCTCCTTGAATTCCCCCCCGGAAAGATCACTGGTATTCATCGAGACCTGTAATTTGACAAAATATTTTTCGGACGCAATTCTATCATAAATCAAAAGTAGCGCGAAACGCCATGCCTGTCAAAATGTTGTAATGAGTTGAAACATTATGTTTGGCGGCTTGTCTTTTCCCCTGCTTTTGGAATTTTCAATTTTTGAATAATCATAGGCGCCTTTCGTATGAGGTAAACCGCGGAAGTAAGGAAGTAGAAATCGGGCCTTCTAGAGATCTCACCGAATCGATGCCAAGTGTGTAATTGCTTTCTAAGAGGATGCATTTCTTGGCTCAAATTCAGTCGTTCTCTAAAAAAAATAGTAGGCCACTTTTTTGCTAGCCTTCCAATACGAGAGATGGCTGTATTCGCAGGACATCTTTTTGGCGAGTCAATCGTCATTTGTATTAACATGTTTCTTTTTAGTATTCTCTTGGACTTAGAGAAGCTAGTGCTAGCGACAATAGTTATCCATTGTAATATTCACGACGCAAATTGACGAATAATTCCGAAATTTAACCCTCTACCGTTCTCTACTACCTCGCTTTTAACACAGAACTAGTGACTCATTTAAAAACCATCGAAACACTTAGCATGCCGGAAAACGACAAACCAAGAGAGACGGAAAAAATAATCTCCAACCTCCCATTAGGAAGTTCTTCATCTTTGTAGGGGGGCAAGAAGGGCTGGATAGTGAAAAAAAACCTCCACTTTGGCATACCGGGCTATTGCCAGTGCGAAATTTTGTATGATGTCTTTTTGACATGAAAAGTCGCGATCTTTCGTCTCCAGCCACATAAACAGGGAGAACCGTGAGAATATACGGCTCTGCTTACGTCCGTTTGACGCGAGAAATAGCCATGAAAGGGTTTTAATCGGGTTTAACTACTTTCACCTATCAAGCCTTAGAAGTTAGAGTCAATGTAAAGCGGTTTGGGTATGTATTCCTTCAGGTGAAAGCAACACTGCACAACGCGGATGAAATCGATTTGCGACCATGATTGTTATGTAAGAAGGAGTGATATTTTAGCGTCCCGTCTTAATGAAGGATGAATGTGCAAGGTGATCTCTGGACAAAACCGCACAGGAAAATTAACTGTGTACTAGAATAACAACTGCAGGAGTACTTACATAATAAACATAATGATAAAGGTCACAGGTTGTTTTATCCGATGTCTAATTTTAGAGCTGAGGGTGAACATGAGCAGAGACTAAATATTCTTAGTGCTTTCCTGTTTGAGCTGAAACATTCTTAGCATGTTTCTAAGTTATAAGGCTATGGTAGTTTGTTATAAGTCCCCAATCTACTACTTAAGCTGTATTTAGTTTAGAATGGCAACGAAACAATACCTTGAACTCTACAATGTTTTATTTTAAAGCTGCTTCTTGCGCTGTGCCTTGCTACGTTTAGATAAAAACTAATAAATTGATAGAAATTTCTGTTATTATAAGTGTTTCTAGCTAAATCACTATTTTTTTAGGTCTCACTCCTTTTCTTTTGTATGTATTTTTGGTCAATAGTCTACCTCAACGTTCTTAGAAAAGAAGTTCTCGTAAACTCAATGAGCGTAAAGAACTCAGTTACATGCGTTTTGCGTCTCACCAGTAAAGTGAATTCCTCGTGTGAGTGCTGTGTTACTGACTGGCTCCCCTGAGCAACGCAGGTTCAAGTTGCTGTAACTTTAGCATGCGATAAAAGAATGACTTAACCGGAAAATGTGTACCTCTAAACCACCAGGCAGAATGAGGACGCACCTCATTGCAAGCCTTTTGGAAGTGCCATTCGCAGATAAGCATGCGTTTAAATTGGGCCAAACGTGAAATCGAAAGACATTAAGTGAAGGCACGATTACTACAACGCCACCGCAACCCGGTGCTTTCAATAGCAGCCAAACAGAGACAAGCTAAAAACCTTACTTTGGAAACCTTGCTATAACTTCAGCTCAGCCCTCTATATTCCGGAATTGACAATGACAACATGAAATAAGTCAGTCTATCTTTTGATTTTCTGGAAGAAGTCCTATGGTGTGACTATTCAAATACAATCTCTTCAGCCGACCTTTCGTCTGACATTTTATGTCTTTTGTAGTATTCTACGATTTTAAATTTTGCATTTTTCCTGAGTTGATTTATGGCCATATTAGGAGGGAATATGGCTCAGGCTGCACAAGGTATTTCTCTATTAATATTCTTCGCAGAATAAAGTATGCCTCGCGGCTAAAGCAAGGGTTATTTCGGGGCACTTAAACTACAAAAAAAAACAACAACAACAACAGCAATTGGGCTTCTTTTGGCACTGTTTCTCATTTGCCCGGTTTTGAAATACTGCATCGAACTATATTTGGTAAAAAACTCGTGAGGTCGACTTGTAGCAAGTCTATATATTTGGCTGCCTACTTTTCCGTTCTATTTTCGTTTATTGTTTCAGTGGAGTTGAAAGGTTAACGCCCTGTACTAATAGAAATCAGTGACGTATCTCCCATTAACCCACTGCTGCTAAAATAGTTTGTACTGAGCTCGACAGACACTGATTCTCTATCGTTATACAGTTTCACACAGAATTCATGGCCATACTTAAGCAAGGTTAAGCTTATTATAGTGACTTATGAGTTTGTAGAGGATATCCTAATTATCACTAAGAATACTTGAGTAGTCTGCAGTTGAGTGATATTATTTTTTATGGTTTTGTACCTGAATTATCAGTGAAAATCTTTGTGGTTTAGGAGTGATATGCAAGTGAACGTTTATCTCCTTTCAGTTAAGTATCATTACTGTTTACTATTCGGCTGTATAAGTTGTGGGGTTCGATTGCCCAAGACCTCATCGCAAGATTGATAATACCATTGCCTCTGTCTATACCCCCGTTCTTAAATTAGTGTTACCGGTTTGGTTTATTGTGGCTCATAGAGATCCATATTTGGGTGGCAGTTTCCGTTTCAAAGTAGAGAATTCGCTATACTTGAATTTTTGCGTAGAACAATCTGTCTATATCGGTTTCACTGAGCTCTTGTGGCTCAACCTTTCAAAGAAACCCTCGGCCACCTCTTGACAATCATCTAGAACGCATGTGTCTCTCTCCGCATGTCTTTGTTTACCTTTGTCTACATCGAGTCTACAGCAAATAAACATTTTTAATCAATATGTAAAGTAGTAGGTTTTCCATACTGGACATGATGTTTCAGCTTTATCCTATGAATGATTTCTATCAATTGATATAACAGAGAAGTAGTTCCGATAAACCTATATATCAGTGATTGCCATTGTTTTCGTTGTTGCCATTTTTTGTGAACCCTTCGTGAACCTTTTAACTTTGTTTGAATGAACCTCTTCACATATTTAATAGCTTTTTTTTCCTCTGTGTGTGTGTAAAATAAAACGATATTAAAGGGCTAACCAGGTCATCTTTACTTTGAGTTAACACAAATGGTGTGTCTTTAGATCAGCAAAATAGCTTCTATGTTACATGCTTCACATACATCGTTTTATTGAACTGAAGTAATAGTATGACAAACAGCCTTCGAATGGTAAGAGCGTCAACGCCCAAAACGTTAGTCGGTTTGGAATATTTTCAGTGCTGGCTAAATTAGCTTGATAACCTTAAATGATAACAGACTTTAGTGCTTCACTCTCGACAACTGACTTTTATTAGAAGTTAATTAGCTGAGATGGCGCGATCATTTTCTTTTTGTATCGCTGGTTTTCCGAACAGTGCACGAAATTGTGAGTTGAGGATAAACACTTCTCTGAACTGACCTCTAAATCTTTTTTTTCTCCACAGGCGCATGTTTCCACCGTTCCAAGTGAGACTTCACGGACTGGACCCTACAGCCAAATACATTCTTATGATGGACTTTGTCTCAGTGGACGACAAACGTTACAGGTACGCGTTCCACAGTTCCAAGTGGCTGGTGGCGGGCAAAGCAGACTCCAGTGTACCCGGGAGAGTACACATTCATCCCGACTCTCCCTGTACTGGACAGCAATGGATGAAACAAGTCGTGTCTTTTGACAAACTTAAACTCACAAACAACCTGATGGATGACAATGGACATGTATGTGGTGTTTCGTATTGGCGTAGGTTAACGTTAGTTAAAAATCGAAATCAGTGTTGCTCGGCTTTTTTTAATTTTTAGCTAAGATAAGAAAATAGCACGATATGATAAGATCACCTGATAGTTAGACAGCCAAACATTTTATTAGTTAACTGGGACGTTATGGTAAAATCCAAATGTTATTGAAATTTCTTCACCCTATCCGGTCTTTCAAGCTGTTTATTTTACTGAGCCAGTGAATAGCACTGGATCAAAACACCCTCTGGCTGGAGAGAAGCGTGGATTTAGAGGAGGTGGAGGGGCCCGTAGTCCGTCCTTTTGCTTGCAATTGTGTTAAAGTTGTGATCTATTCTCAATGCAGCCAGCCAAAAACAATGCCTGTAATGCTAATAAGAGATAGGGTACTTTCTTCCCAATAGCGCGCTATTGGGAAGAGGAACTTACCTTTAAATAAAAAACCCACAATGCACAGCCACGAATAGGATAGCCGGTGCGGGCTAGACGTGGCGTGCTAGTGTAACGTAATAGAGTTTTAGACTATTCTATTGCGGAGTCCCCTAAGAAAATACTTAAGAGTTCTTAGTAAAATGTGGCTTCTAAAGCCTTAATATTGGATAGAGATGCTTGAAACCAAAAATATATATGTGTGGCGCATGGCAAGTCTCCGGCCCAACCTTTCTGAATTTTTTGAATCCGCCCGGCACCCAGACGTGCTTTTCCTTTTAGTACGTAGTAAGTTTTTGCCACGAATTCACGTATGCTCAAGCGGAACCGAACCCGACATTTCTTTTGCTTATCTTCTAATCGCCGGAACTTATTACCTTGCTGTTATTGTAAAGTATTCACTAACATGTACCCCCAGTGCTATCACCTTGTTAGCCTGCGTGGCAGGCGTTTGAGAAAGGTGCGAGAGAAGTGCGAGGGGCGCGCGAGGAGCGCCCCTCGCGTTTCGCGTTTCCCTCGCGCCCAAAACCCCCTTTCCCTTCCCTTTCAAACGCCTGCCACGCAGGCTATCACCTTGTTATTACCTACAGACCGGCATACGTTAACTGAGCTACCATAATTAGGTTTTATTTCCCTCTCTAACTAATTCAAATTCTTCAGTTTACTGCGGTTGTTTTTGTATTCAACTCTCGTCTAACTAACCTTGCAATGTCCAAAAACAAAATGCTTAATTGTCAGCTTACTAAATTATAAAGGCATCAAATCGCTTTGAAAATTAGCAACTTGTCCAAGTATGTGATCATTTATAAAGAAGGCAAAACAGATTGCGAAGAAGGGCCCGCATTTGTCGTTAAGAGTCTTCAGACGTCTTTCCTTGAATGCACGGTTTCAGAGCTTTTAGCGTGCTCTTCACTGTTAGGGTTTCGTCATTAAAATCTCTTTCCTTTGCGGTCTTCCTTTTTGGCTCCATTCCAGGCTGTTCTGCAGAAAAACTTTGAAGATAAGAAAGGGATCACCAACCTCTTCTTGATAACGTTAATGATGATCATTACGATAACAATGAATGATGACCGTTTTGTTGTTGTTTTTGCTCTTAGATTATACTCAACTCCATGCATAAGTACCAGCCTCGATTTCACGTTGTACTAGACAACCAAGAAAAGAGTACGATGACCAGTGCTCTAAGAGCGAGTACGGAACATGTAAAAACCTTCGTGTTTCCTGAAACGCAATTCATGGCTGTAACGGCTTATCAAAACCACATGGTAGGTCCTTTTCGATTCCTTCACATTGATTCCAGAGGAAAAGGATTAGAGTGTCTAGCCAGTAGCTCATTAACCATTCTCAAAATTCTTTCCAGCCAGGGGAATGCATAGTTACCGGAAGATGAATAAAACTGTGGGAAATATTGTTTGATCTGTAGACCTCAGTTTTATGTTTTTTACAAGATGATTCTTACACTCAAACTGTTTAAAGATCTGTTCAATTTTTGAGTAAATGAATTTTGAAATATAGAAGTCAGACAATGGTTGTATCAGATCATTGAGAGTTGGTATGCACTGGGACTATTGTTAAACCGCTCGTAATCCTTTACCACACCATGTTCATTCTAGGCTCAGTACGGTTCTATAGCTCCTACTCTACACCTTACTGGTTACCGTCCCTACTCCCTACAGAGGGGTTCTTAACCCTTTACGTACCAACATGCACATACAAATTCTCCAAACTGATCTCATCCATTTCCTTAAAGAATGAGTTGAGAGGATTTGATAACAGATCAAGACATTTTGTCTGTGCTGATCATTTTGTTAATTCTCATAATCGTATTTCTTGACAATGTTTGGATATCGTTAGGAGAAAATTGATGTTGGTCACTATTGGCACTGTTTTATATTCTTCGCAGATAACCCAACTGAAGATAGCTAGTAACCCTTTCGCTAAAGGATTTCGTGATTGTGACCCGGATGACTGGTAGGCGTGGCCTGGTTGAAACACTTTACCTACACTCTTTCATGTACACAACATGCTGCAAGAAATTCGTGTTTTAAATTAATGTCCCACTCGAAAATAGCATAGCTAATCGAGTCAATAGTCTCAAGCTCAGCGGCCACCTTGCCTGCGCACCACCGACATCGTTCTTTCGAATACAAAATGCTGGGAAAGTACTTGCCTAGTGCCTAGGCCTCATTATTCCGCGCGGCCTATGCGTTCCTATGCGTCACCTAAATGCATTGACCGAGAAGGCCCGGGAAGAAGCCTTACAGAGACTAGGGCGAGTGCAGCCGAATTTTTTCACATGATGACATGACCTCAGGTTTTATCAAATGAGCCACCAGTGTTTTCATTGAATTTGTCTCCGGGAGAAATTTCTTGCAACTGATAAAAATTTATTCCGTCCTCTTTTCTTTCCTAATTTGGCATTAATGCTACAAAGTTTGCTTAGGTTAAATTTTATATTGTTTTAAAATAATGTTTTACTTTTTAGGGCGGTACCTAGCTTTGGTATTAATGTTTTTGAATTTGTTTGATGCGTACACATTGTCAAAAAGGTGGCTAAGCTCTTAGGTGTTACATAAATATATAGATAAATAACAAACTAAAATTTATTTTTAAAAAAATCAATAGGATGACATTGTAATCGATTGTTGTTGGGTTATGTCTTTAGATCAGCAAAATAGCTTCTATGTTACATGCTTCACATACATCGTTTTATTGAACTGAAGTAATAGTATGACAAACAGCCTTCGAATGGTAAGAGCGTCAACGCCCAAAACGTTAGTCGGTTTGGAATATTTTCAGTGCTGGCTAAATTAGCTTGATAACCGTAAATGATAACAGACTTCAGTGCTTCACTCTTCTACAACTGAGTTTTATTAGAAGTTAATGAGCTGAGATGGCGCGATCATTTTCTTTTTGTATCGCTGGTTTCCCGAACAGTGCACGACATTGCGAGTTGAGGATGAACACTTCTCTGAACTGTCCTCTAAATCTTTCTTTTCTCCACAGGCGCATGTTTCCACCGTTCCAAGTGAGACTTCACGGACTGGACCCTACAGCCAAATACATTCTTATGATGGACTTTGTCTCAGTGGACGACAAACGTTACAGGTACGCGTTCCACAGTTCCAAGTGGCTGGTGGCGGGCAAAGCAGACTCCAGTGTACCCGGGAGAGTACACATTCATCCCGACTCTCCCTGTACTGGACAGCAATGGATGAAACAAGTCGTGTCTTTTGACAAACTTAAACTCACAAACAACCTGATGGATGACAATGGACATGTATGTGGTGTTTCGTATTGGCGTAGGTTAACGTTAGTTAAAAATCGAAATCAGTGTTGCTCGGCTTTTTTTAATTTTTAGCTAAGATAAGAAAATAGCACGATATGATAAGATCACCTGATAGTTAGACAGCCAAACATTTTATTAGTTAACTGGGACGTTATGGTAAAATCCAAATGTTATTGAAATTTCTTCACCCTATCCGGTCTTTCAAGCTGTTTATTTTACTGAGCCAGTGAATAGCACTGGATCAAAACACCCTCTGGCTGGAGAGAAGCGTGGATTTAGAGGAGGTGGAGGGGCCCGTAGTCCGTCCTTTTGCTTGCAATTGTGTTAAAGTTGTGATCTATTCTCAATGCAGCCAGCCAAAAACAATGCCTGTAATGCTAATAAGAGATAGGGTACTTTCTTCCCAATAGCGCGCTATTGGGAAGAGGAACTTACCTTTAAATAAAAAACCCACAATGCACAGCCACGAATAGGATAGCCGGTGCGGGCTAGACGTGGCGTGCTAGTGTAACGTAATAGAGTTTTAGACTATTCTATTGCGGAGTCCCCTAAGAAAATACTTAAGAGTTCTTAGTAAAATGTGGCTTCTAAAGCCTTAATATTGGATAGAGATGCTTGAAACCAAAAATATATATGTGTGGCGCATGGCAAGTCTCCGGCCCAACCTTTCTGAATTTTTTGAATCCGCCCGGCACCCAGACGTGCTTTTCCTTTTAGTACGTAGTAAGTTTTTGCCACGAATTCACGTATGCTCAAGCGGAACCGAACCCGACATTTCTTTTGCTTATCTTCTAATCGCCGGAACTTATTACCTTGCTGTTATTGTAAAGTATTCACTAACATGTACCCCCAGTGCTATCACCTTGTTATTACCTACAGACCGGCATACGTTAACTGAGCTACCATAATTAGGTTTTATTTCCCTCTCTAACTAATTCAAATTCTTCAGTTTACTGCGGTTGTTTTTGTATTCAACTCTCGTCTAACTAACCTTGCAATGTCCAAAAACAAAATGCTTAATTGTCAGCTTACTAAATTATAAAGGCATCAAATCGCTTTGAAAATTAGCAACTTGTCCAAGTATGTGATCATTTATAAAGAAGGCAAAACAGATTGCGAAGAAGGGCCCGCATTTGTCGTTAAGAGTCTTCAGACGTCTTTCCTTGAATGCACAGTTTCAGAGCTTTTAGCGTGCTCTTCACTGTTAGGGTTTCGTCATTAAAATCTCTTTCCTTTGCGGTCTTCCTTTTTGGCTCCATTCCAGGCTGTTCTGCAGAAAAACTTTGAAGATAAGAAAGGGATCACCAACCTCTTCTTGATAACGTTAATGATGATCATTACGATAACAATGAATGATGACCGTTTTGTTGTTGTTTTTGCTCTTAGATTATACTCAACTCCATGCATAAGTACCAGCCTCGATTTCACGTTGTACTAGACAACCAAGAAAAGAGTACGATGACCAGTGCTCTACGAGCGAGTACGGAACATGTGAAAACCTTCGTATTTCCTGAAACGCAATTCATGGCTGTAACGGCTTATCAAAACCACATGGTAGGTCCTTTTCCATTCCTTCACATTGATTCCAGAGGAAAAGGATTAGAGTGTCTAGCCAGTAGCTCATTAACCATTCTCAAAATTCTTTCCAGCCAGGGGAATGCATAGTTACTGGAAGATGAATAAAACTGTGGGAAATATTGTTTGATCTGTGGACTTGTTTTATGTTTTTTTACCAGATGATTCTAACGCTCAAACTGTTTGAAGACATGTTTAATTTTTTGAGTAAACGAATTTTGAAATATAGAAATTAGACGATGGTTGTATCAGATCATTGAGAGTTGGTATGCACTGGGACTATTGTAAAACCGCTCGTAATCCTTTACCACACCATGTTCATTCTAGGCTCAGTACGCTTCTATAGCTCCTACTCTACACCTGACTCGTTACCGTCCCCACCCCCCTATAGAGGGTTCTTAACCCTTTACGCACCAATATGCACATACAAATTCTCCAAACTGATCTCACAAATTTCCTTAAAGAATGAGTTGAGAGAATTTCATAACAGATCAAGGCATTGTCTGTGCTGATCATTTTGTTAATTCTCATAATCGTATCTCTTGACAATGTTTGGATATCGTTAGGAGAAAAGTGATGTTGGTCACTATTGGCACTATTTGATATTCTTCGCAGATAACCCAACTGAAGATAGCTAGTAACCCTTTCGCGAAAGGATTTCGTGATTGTGACCCGGATGACTGGTAGGTGTGGCCTGGTTGAAACACTTTACGTACACTCTTTCATGTACACAACATGCTGCAAGAAATTTGTGTTTTAAATCAATGTCCCACTCGAAAATAGCATAGCTAATCGAGTCAGTAGTCTCAAGCTAAGCAGCCATCTTACCTGCGCACCACCGACATCGTTCTTTCAATACAAAATGCTGGGAAAGTACTTGCCTAGTCCCTAGGCCTCATTATTCCGCGCGGCCTATGCCTTCCTATGCGTCACCGACTGCGTCACCTAAATGCATTGACCGAGAAGCAGCCGAATTTTTTCACATGATGACATGACCTCAGGTTTTATCAAATGAGCCACCAGTGTTTTCATTGAATTTGTCTCCGTCCTCTTTTCTTTCCTAATTTGGCATTAATGCTACAAAGTTTGCTTAGGTTAAATTTTATATTGTTTTAAAATAATTTTTTACTTTTTAGGGCGGTACCTAGCTTTGGTATTAATGTTTTTGAATTTGCTTGATGCGTACACATTGTCAAAAAGGTGGCTAAGCTCTTAGGTGTTACATAAATATATAGATAAATAACAAACTAAAATTTATTTTTAAAAAAATCAATAGGATGACATTGTAATCGATTGTTGTTGGGTTTTCTTCTAATTATTTAGCGTGGTAGAAGTTATAAAGCAAGTAGAACCCGGCAACATGGTACCAAGTTCAAAGTCTCGGATTCAAGGAGAGGTGTTCTCTCCTAAGTCTTGTGCTTCTGGGAGTGAAGAAGGAGAAAGCTTAACAGGTTTGTGTTGGCCAGTCCTTCCTTTTGTAAATGGCTTGGGTAGAATGAGGAAAACGGCTGGGGCAGCTTTTGATGTGGACTTGCACCACCAATAAAACGTTCCTGTTTCCATAAAATCATCATCCAAAGCTTTTAACTTAAAAAATTATTTGCCTTTAACTCACGATTTCCACGCTCTTGTCTTTAGGATCCATGGCGACTGTGACGTCACCTTTGGTACCCATGGGCCGTGTTCTTCCCTCGCTAACGCTCCCCTCCATAACAGTTCCCTCGTGTACTCCCATCATAAGTCCAACCATTACGTCACCGCTACTACATCCCCACCCTACCTCGCCCGGGACATCAACTTCCGTGTATCGGGGATTTCCACCATTACGTGACCATCGCAGCGTACCTTATCCATCGCCGTATTTAAGGTATAATTCAGCACCGCAAAGCGAAATACCTGGTTATCAATCTCCACCGGGGACAATATCAAGTCAATGACAGAACATTGTGAGACTGAAAATGAAATCTTGAGGACACAAACGAATTTCTTACATAGAATCGATGTTGGTGGGCAATAGCAGAAGCGCGGATACTCTCAAGAGCACCGGACCCGAGACTGGTTAAGTGTTGTATCGAATTGCACTCTGGGACTGTTTTGGGGACACTATCGCTTCCTTATTTGGCTTTAAAAAAGTTGCGTAGGAGACTGGGTCAAAATTCGTCTCTCAAAACAGTGCGCAATTCGAAACAACACCAACCCCGACAGTCTCTAGAGCAAACTCCAAATGGCCAATCCCACACCAAGACGTTGCCTTTCTCCAATGCCAACCTAATGCCACAACCTATTAAATGCCTCTTGATCATTAGAGATTTGTTCAATAATGTTTCGTTCGCAGACGCAAATTTTCAAAAGATTATTTAAGTTAATACAGCGTCATGATCACTTGATTCCTACTTACTTCCGTTCCCGGCTTGATTTTTATATAGCTTTCTTCGCGCTCGGTATTGTGTGTACAGTTTGTATCGATAATTTTCTTTGTAAGTAGGCTTGAGCAAGCTCTGGTGATAGGTTGCGCTTAATTTTCACGTAAAAGTAAAAGGCTAGTAGTGAATTCCATTTTAAAATTAGTTATACGTTTCAGTTTTAATGTTAATGCCAGATTACCGTGATTTCACTTCACTCAACGTTTTATCTTTTCGTCGTGGAACAAAACAATTTCTCGTTTCCTTTTTTTCCCTTTCATTCGCCAGCGTAGTATACCTCTTTTTAAAATTACAGATGTCAAAGGTAACTAAGAGAGCTTTCCAAAAGGCAGGCCGGACCAGTCATTTTGAAAATGAAATAAGCTTTTTCTAAGAGTTTTGGATGAAAAACGGTTTCGTTCGTGCATGCCTTTTAGGATTTGACTGATCTGGCTGGATAGCTTTGATTAAAAGTGAAATTCTCATTACGACGGGAATGGCCTTGCCGGTCAGTGCTGACAAATGGAAAGCGCCCTTAGTTTCACAAAATGGATAATATTATCAGAAAG